AAAAAAAACCTCAATAAAAGAAGCCCTAGTTAATTGGACATCGTTGAAATAACCACCTAAGTTTTGGTAATATCACAGGAAATAGCAAATTTCCAGGAGAAGAATTTGATAATGTTTCAGGGAACAAAAGAAAGATCAATCCCATCTGTGGAACTCAAAAATAAACCCTGGCCTTTGTGTATTTTCTGACATGGCAATGATGAGGACCACGCTGTCACGGCACAGACACGGCACACATTTGTAATCACACAGACATTTACTTGTGCTCTTTGAAAAAAAAAAATTCAATAAAGAAAACTGTAAGATCACACAAAGAGAAGGACAAATAGCTTTCAAAAAGCCGACGTAAGAGGAAAGGTTAAGAATATGGACAGTACGTAGCCTGTAGCAAGTAATGACGCCAGGGACCTCGCAATGGCGCCAGGGACCTCGCCACCCCTGCAGGTGCACAGAGATTTGCTAAAGCAGGCAACAAACTCCTCAGTCTTACTGACAATGCAACAAAGGAAGCTTAAAATGCCGCACAGGGGACATAAGGAAAACAATTCCTTGACCCCAAAGCCTATAACACAACACGGCAGGTTGTTAGGGAGTCTGTGTGATCACTTTAGAGGCTTTTAGAGAAGGACGCGCTATCTAAGTGTCAGTGGTGCCAGAGAGAGTTACCTTTGGGTTCTATTATCGCAGTAAATGATACTTGATAAATTACACATCAGATGCTTCCCATAAAGGAAAGCTACTATCGGCTGAAATTGAAAACATTTACGGAGATGATGGAAAGACTTGCAAGGTAAGAAGAAAACGCAGAAGTTGCCCAAAGCCTAATAAGCCTATGGCAATTTGTTAGAAATAACTGTTTTGTATACAGAAAACTCAAATTATGGGGAAAGAGTTAGAGGGGAAAGAGATTATCTGGAGGAGTTTTCAGCACCGGTGTGCACTCTTTAAGAGGATTAAGAAGAACGTGAAAGTGGAAACAAGAAGACACAGGATTCACCGAGCCCCTTACTCCCGCACGCACACAGCTCATGGATTTGATGTAATATTCCTGAGAAATTTTATTAAAACGTTCATCATCTAAGAAGTCTCACCACCTCCTTCCTCTTCTTGGACTCCCTGGTCCTCGGCTCCCTGAACGATGTCATTGTCCATAGCATCATAATGACCCTGCTGCCTGCAAGGGACGCAGATATTACAAATTCAGTAGCATAAATTAACTGGCACGTCATTTATCTTTAAAGACATCAACAAACAATTTTTTAAAGGCCATAAAAACATGCTAAAACCTTTCACGTACATGGTTACGTTCCCTATATACTTTTAAAAGATCCCTTTAACTTAGAGATGAACTTAGCACAAAGCCTGATGGGCTGTCTGGAGACCTAAACTCTCGCTTGTAAGCAGGAAAAAACATTATTAAAAAAATTAAGTATGTGGCCTTTAATTCTCAAGCAGCTGTCCTACTCTGGCTACATAAGCCACGAGACCCTGAATTTCATGAGTCACAAAATACAGAAGGCTGTTCTGAGACACAGGGCAGTGAAGGTACCCGGGCTGCTCCGGGCGCAGGGGCCGGTCCTCGTCGCGCACCGCGTGCTGCGCCTGCGCGGCCAGCTCCCGGGCCAGCTGCTGCTGCTGCTGCCGCCACACGTGTCCCTGCAGCCTCTGCCGGTGCAAGGCCTCCTGGTGCTCCCGCAGGCGCTGCGCCTCCTCCGCCTGCTGCACCGCCAGCCTCTGCTGTTCCAGCTGCTCCTCGTAGGCCGATCGGAACCTGGTGGCCGGCTTGGATGAAGCATGCACCTGGGAAGAAGAGCGGCCTCTGAGTGAGAGAAGCCAGCTCCTCTGCGTGTCCCCTGCGTTTGCTTCTCATGGCAAACCCAGGAGGTGGGGCTGGTTTATGAACACTCCCTTCTCAGGTGAGCCCAGCCGACAAAGGCAGGGCACTCCCAGTCCCCAACCTTCTCCGCATCACCCTTGGCTCTCTCAACAACTCCTCTTCCCTGTCTGTTGGTACTAGCGCGGCTTTTTCAGTGTGCTCCCCTCTCTAATGAAACAGCAGGCACATTAGAAGAAATCGCTTTCAGACCGTAATTAAACCCACGTTCACAGGCTGATACAAGCAGGCACTTGCCCACCTTGCACTACGGGCAACTGGTGGCCCAAGGCTGTGGCTAAGGCTTTTTCCATGAAGAGCTAAAGACCCAGGGATGCTAATTAACTCTAGCAACATATACACTAACCCCACGCTAAGCACATCTAAAAAAATTATCAAATTCCAGATTATAGCAGAAAAGCGGAGAAGCAATTTTCCTCAAAGCAACCGAGAATGGATGAGAAGATAGTATCTTCTGATTAAAGGAAAATCGGATACGGCAATTCTAAAAACTCTGCTTCCCTGAGATACCATCTCACCCCAGTTAAATATGCCTTTTATCATAAAGACAGGAAAAAAATAGATGCTGACAAGGATGTGGAGAGCGGGGAGCCCTTGCACACAGTTGTGGGGGTGTCTATTAGTGCAGCCACTATGAAGTGGAGGTTTCTCAGAAACCGAAAACAGAACGACTATATGATCCAGCAATCCCATTAGTGGGTGTCCATCCAAAAGAAAGGAAACCAGCACATGGAGGGGTGTCTGCCTTGCCGTGCTCACTGTACACAATTTACAACCCCCGAAACATGCACCCTGAGTGTCCGTCGACAAATGAATAAAGAAAAGCTGGTACATACGCAGAATGGAATTTTTCATTCAGCCATAAAAATGATAAAATCCTATCATTTGCAGCAACAGAATAGAACTGGTTATTATGTTAAGTGAAATAATTCAGGCAGAAATATCACATGTTTTCACTCATCTATGGGAGCTATAAAAAAACAGTGGATCTCAGGAAAATAGAGTGGACTAGTGTTGACCAGAAGCTGGGAATGGGTGAAGAGCCGGGGCATGAAGAGAAGTTGATTAATGGGTACAGTTAGAAGACAGGACTAAGACCCCGTGTTCAATAGGAGAGTAGGGGGACTACAGTTAACAATCATCTATGGTATATTCCACCTTAGCTAGAAGAGGGGAATTCAAATGTTCCCAGCACAATGAAAAGATACATGTTTGAGTGATGGATCTCCCAATCACCCCGACTTGACCCTCACACATAATATGGAAGCATCGGAGAATTCCACATGCCCTAAAGACAGGTTCACCTGGTACATAAGACAGTCGTGCTTCCTAGGGCCTTTCTCCTCTCCACTCTCCCACCACCCACAACTAGAGCATGCACACACAGTTCTCTCCACAGGAAGAGGGGAGAGCACTAAGGGGAAGGAGGCCTGGTGGGGGTAACTTCCTTTGTGGGGAGGACATGAGATGGAGGAGGTTTTCCAAGGCCCAGTCTGCAGTGGCCTTAGAGGGCAGCTCCCAGGCCTCATGACCACCAGCTCCGAGCCTCCTGAAGCTCTGAGCCTCCTGCAGCTCTGAGCCTCCACCAGCTCCTAGCCTCCTGCAGTTCCGAGCCTCCACCAGCTCCGAGCCTCCTGCAGTTCCGAGCCTCCACCAGCTCCAAGCCTCCTGCAGTTCCGAGCCTCTACCAGCTCCGAGCCTCCTGCAGCTCTGAGCCTCCACCAGCTCCGAGCCTCCACCAGCTCCAAGTCTCCTGCAGCTCCGAGCCTCCACTAGCTCCAAGCCTCCTGCAGCTCCAAGCCTCCACCAGCTCCGAGCCTCCTGCAGCTCCGAGCCTCCTGCAGCTCCGAGCCTCCACCAGCTCCGAGCCTCCACCAGCTCTGAGCCTCCTGCAGCTTTCAGCACCTGGGAAAAGGCTGAGCAGCTGTTGGGCATCAGTTTCGAGATTACACAGGAGGGCACCTGGCTGCACTCAGCGTTGGCTTACTGTAAGTTATTTTAAAGTATCATTTGTAATAATTGTGGCTAATTTTTCTAAGAAAGGGAAAGGTCTTACTTGTGAGCTGCAAGCTCAGAAAAGAACACAGAGTGATTAAACATGCCAACCCAGTGAACAGCCCTGAGTGGTAAAACAGCATTCTGATCACCAAATACCTCCTTGAAGGTGAATGTGCAAAAGCCAGCCTGCTAACTGATAGAAAAAAAATGGAGGCAGAGGCCTTGATCACAGAAAATAAGACTTCTCTCTGCTCTGGGACACTCAACCCGACTGGAGCACGGGTGGGGAAGTTGCTGGACCTGCTCTCCTGTTAGGGGACGTGGGCCTGAGTGTCCTGTGTGTGCTGCTGACAAAGGAAATAACACCCGCAGGCACCCGCAGTGAGCTGTCCCCGCAGTGAGCTGTCCCCACAGGGAACTCTCCCACTTTGCATCTATCTTCAGTGTATAAGTCACTATTAACTTTATAAGAGAAAACTTCAATATGTACGCAATATTTAGTGAAATCACTCCATTTTTTCTTTTGGAGGCTGTGATATATGCGGAGGCTTCTATATATACATATATAAAAAATAAAGCCAGGCTCCCTATCCCAGGAAACCTGCAGCAGCGACCGCACCTCCACGTGGGCATGCCCGTCCAGGCGGTTGGCTTCCTCTCTTTGCCCTTGGGGTTCTTTCCACTCCCGGTCCTGTTCCTCTGGGGAAGGTTCGTGCTCCTCCTCCAGGCGCTCCGCCCGCCCAGCCTGCTGCATCTCCTCCTCTTCCAGGGCCCGCCTGTGCTCCTCTTCCACCTGCCCCTCGGGCTCTCTGCTGGCGGCCGCCTGCTGGTTCAGCGCGGCTGGAGCCTGGGGCGCCACCTCCTGGTAGGTGGGAGCCTGAGGATTCCCGTCTTCTGGCCTTCCAGGAATTGCTTCATGCTTCTGCCACACGTCACTATTCCGGGACACCTAGGCCAAGCACATCACTGGAAATGACATTTTTCTATTTCAAAAGTAGAGCTATAATTTCTTCATTGCTGTGTCTATGGGGCTACAACATGAACAACAATCTAGAAATACGTATAGTCCTGACTTAGAAATATAGTTGCAATAGAGTCACTTAATTTGTCCTATGTAATCTCATCTGTAAAACAGAGATAATACAAGCAAACTTCATCTCAGAAAAAATACATTTAAATAACCTGGAAAGTAAAGCCCACAAGTAACCATATCTCAGAAGTCAACCCTTCCCTCTAAAGTAAACCAATTTCTATTTTTCCCCATAGAATAATAAAAAAACACTTCAAACTTCAGATGAAATGTTTTACATAATTTTTTTGCACATGTAAATTTCATTTCCAGCAACTATTTGAATAAAGGATAATATCAAATTCAGGAGGAGTGGGTTTATTTCGTATTAGTTTGGTTTACTAATTTCAAAAAACGGAATACCATTACTAATGAACATAAATATTAGTGAAAAGTAGTGCCCATTGGTCAAGATACAATAAAATATTCTTGATGTATTAAAGGGGAATTTCTTTGTAACCCACAGGGAATCTTTTCTAGACATCATATTGTCAATACAGAAAAAAGAACTGTCTTTTTTTATTAATAGAATACTCCACCTCTAAAATTGGTCGATCTGAATAGTTTTGCCTGCAATTTCCAGATACCTCCAAACACACTGCATTACGCAGAAGGCAGGAAAAGGAGATGACATAATATCGATAGAAAAATGTATCATCTCTTCTCTCTTCTCCCTTCCTTTTTTGTTTTTTTTTTAATCAGGAAAGAATACCTTCTTGGGTCAGACGGCTCTGTCATAATTCAAACAAATGTGAAATCCTATTCTTTAATTAACCCACATATAATTGTCAAACATGAAGAAATGGACTATGTAGATAATAAACTGGGGAGAAAAATCCTTCTCTGACGTTTGAAGACAACCTGTTGTGCATTTTACATCTACACTGTGCTCACTGCCCGGGCTTTATAGGAAATACTTCTCTGAAGAGCCCGAAGTGCCTTAAAACACCTCTCATTGATCTCGACAACATCCCTGTGAGCAAGGTTAGAGCAGACAACTGCTACCTCCAGCTCACAGACGGGAAGACTGAAGCTCTCCATCACTGGAGGACGAATCCCGTAAAGCAGGAATCCAACAAGGGTAGAGACTAGAACCAACTGCAGGGCGGTGATGTGGCCGCGCTTTCTGTTAACATCAGATCCAGAGCGCGTGAGGCCTCGGAGCAGAGTGAAGATGCTTACATGTGACCTCTACGCACATTAACTTAATTATCCCCATAAGATGGTACCTTGGGGTAAAGTATTGGCAGACGTTGTTGTTGAACCATAACAATTTTGCCCTTTTGTATTATACGTGATTGTAAAAACAACTTTGTAAGAACTAATGAGAGTGATGCCACTTTTGACGTTCCACTTAAGACCCTTAAGCAAGGCTTAAATTTGTGAAGAATAAAAATGGAACGAAGTGTGTGCTGAGGCCAGCACACCTGCCCCTGGTGGTGTTGCGGAAGGCCTTTGAACACAGATTTGGGTGTGTGCTGTGGGAGTCTAGCACATGCTTAAAGTTTGAATATACACGATCATGCCTGGCGTTAACATCTGAGTGGGCTGTCCCACTCCATCCTTCTCACCCTACCTGCCACACTCTCCTGCAAAAGAAAACCAGCCTTGAAGCAACTGAGGCACTGTAGCTCCTTCACAATGGATAAAACCCAAGCCAGTATTTTCCAGAAAACACTGCAGGAGCAGTTCTCAAAGTGTGCCTGCTGCCCAGACCCCAGAATCCATTAGAAACGCACATTCTCGGGCCCCGTTCCATATTAACAAAATCAGAAACTCTGGGGTTGAGGCCCAGCAATCTGCATTTTCACAAGTCCTAGTGGGGATTCTGATATACACTAAATGAAACTTCCAGAACCACTGCTCTGCAGAGAAGTTGGCACTACCCAGAGCTGGGGCTGTGGGCAGAGAAGCGTCCTAAGCACAGGTGCGAGGGCCTCTTACCTGCTGAGGCTCTCCAGTTGGTC